ACGTACCTACCTACCTACCGTACCTACCTACCTACCTACCTACCTCCTACCTTACTACGTAACGTAACGTAACGTAACTAACTACTACTCTACTACTCTACTACTTACTTACTCTCTCTCTCTCTCTCTCTCTCTCTCTCTCTCTCTCTCTCTCTCTCTCTACCAAAATCTCTAAGGAGAGCTCCCATCTCCCTCTCCGCCAAATCTCCCAATCTCTTTTGCTCACATCACCCCAATCTCTCTCTCCTAATCTCTCTCCCAATCTCTCTCAGTAGACGAGTGCTTCTGCTCTCTCTCTCTCTCACGAAATCTCTGTCCCAATCACTACATTGCTCTGAAGCAAAATCTCGGAAGCATGTGCTCATCTCCATCCCATATATCAATTTACAGGGCTTCTTTTCCACTGCTATCACAAAATATTTGATTAACCATATAAGAAATTTCATTTAGAGCATGGCCTAATGGTCATGGAGCATAAAGACAGTGTAAGAGAACCTATGCGAAATCTATTCATACAAAATCTCTCTCTAAGTGTATATATATCTCTTTCTCTTAATGTCGTTTCACCTCTTTGCCTAAAAGTAGCTCTCTTTCTCTTTCTCTCATTAGATAGGTCTCTCTTTCTCTCTGTATCTTTACCTCTATCTCCCAATCTATGCCCAAGTGGGTCTTCTCCCCTTTACAAGTGGCTCTCTTTCTCTCTCTAAAAATGGGTTTCTCTATTTCACTCTAAACTGGTGTTTCTCTCTCTTACAGTTTTTTAATTTCAGGCAAAATTTCTCCCTCTTTCACTGCATTTGATTTTGGTTGTGCAAATGAGGCAGGGGAATAGTCTGTTTTTGACACTAGAGGACCTTCAATTTCTCTCTCGTGGGTGCGGTAACATACTGGAAGTAGAGAGAGAAATCAATTTGCTAATGAGAGAGGACGGGTAGAGAGAGACAGGAAGTAGGGAGAGAAATCAATTTGTTAATCCTGAATACCAAACTTTTATCTCCAACCAAACCTTTTGAGGGTGTCATTTTGGTTTTTTTTGGGCCAAACATTCATGTCCAAAGGGATTTAGGGAGTTGTAAGATAAAAACGATGGAGGTCTTTTGCTTACAAATAATATTTTCAATCTTTGGGTCTCAAGAGATACAGAAGTTAAAAATAGGGGATAAGAAGATATTTTCCTAAAAATAAATACAATGCATTTCTCCATCCACTTTGATAGAGTACGGTTAGACTGATGACACTCAATCTGTCCTAATCTAGCCATTTCCACATTGAGTTAACAAAATAAGAAAAAAACTAAGGTGTGGGGAAACAGTCTCATCAGTGACGCAATGCTGGGTCCACACTCCTAGTAAGCGCCAAGGTAGATGCCTAGTGAGTGTGGTTGTTACCTAGGACTTGGGTATTGCATGATGCATGTGCATGGTAATAGGTTAGTTTTGCTTGGAGTTATTGTTTTAAGAGTTCTAAAGGTGGGTTTTGGTCTTCCAATGTATAGGGAGTTAACTAGAGGGTCTTTGGAAACATGTAGACTTAGGTTTTGAGTTTATAAAAAGGCTATACAATGGCTGTAAAGAAGGATGGCGAATTTTGAATGGAAAAAATATATATATTGGCAAGTATTTTCTTGCTGCCTTTGGAGTAGAGTGAGTCATCCATTGGAGTTGAGTGATTCCTCCAACTCGGCGTGAGTGATTCCGCCCTTCCATGTCAGTTGAGTGATTCCTAGCAACATCTCACAGGCCTTGGCCTGCTGTACCTCTTTTGTTAGCCGCATCATTTGGTATCAGAACAGGTTCCTCGTGAGCGACTTAGACACTGCAATTGTGTGCAATGGTTGCCAAAGTAAAGCCAAAACGATCCTTTATGCTCATCTTCCTTTTCAGAAAGTTAAACAGTCATAAATTGGGACTTACCACCAATCTTTGACGTGTATCCTAATGAAGATTCGAGTTTGGTGGAAGAACCAATCTATGATGAAGAAGTTGGTGATCCTACCTTTGATGAAAAGAAAGAAGGAAGTCTTATATTCAATGAAGAACTGGGTATCAGGAAGATGATATTGGTGACAGTGATTATGATGGTGAAGATGGTGTTGCTTACATTGGGCTATTGCTTTGTTTTGAGTGGAGAGCCCCAACAACAACTCACCAAGTTCTAATAGAAGGAGGTTGTGGTTGCAATGCATGTTTCCTCTTAACCCATTTTAAAGTTTGTTAGCGAGTTATCTCGGGTCTCATCAAAATTGGGGAAAAGTGCATATTCCTTGATGATGACAGGCATGCGAATCTAGCACTATTGTTGATGGCACTTAAGTATTGCTCATGTTTTTGGCATGCAATTTGGTATGCTTAAAGCATTCATTCATACATGGCCTTGTACATAAAGGATTAGAACAAATGGCAATCCATGCACAAGATGGGCTATCTCTTGAATGGTATGGCGCACTTGAATGGGCTTTCCCTATTTGGACAAAGAAGCATGCTCTTAATAGAGGCAAATCTGTAAATTGTGTACCAAAGCAGACTGAAGTTTCTTATTGGGAAAAAAAAATTTCCTTATGAAATTCACGTTGTATTTGCCAAGATTGATACGAAGGGATGTCATGATCAGGCAATACCAAATATTTTACGGAGAGGTTGTCATGTGTTTGATGTTTTATTTGTTCCAAAACAGATGACTGTGTTTTTTGTTGAAGACAATTCATTGGAACTGTGTAATGAAGAACTCATAGAGTATAATGCCAATAAAATCAGAGTGGCACAGCAGAAGAGGATTGGCATCGCATTTATCTTAACCCACTACAAAAGACGATGACAAGTTTTCTCCAACAAGGGGAGTATGATGCAGGCGCAAGTAGACTGCCCCTTGAAGAAGAGTTGAAGCAACTTTGGAAAGACCTCACAATGAACTTGAGTCGAGTTCTTTTCAAGAAGGGGGGAATTATATAGTGTTGGGCCTACACTCTTTAAGCGCAAAGGGGACGCCTACTCAGTGTGATTGTTAACTTGGACTTGGGTATTGCATGATGCATGTGCATGGGTAATTAAGTTAGTTTTGCATGGAATTATTGTTTTAGGAGTTCCAAAGGTGGGTTTTGGTTTTCCAATGTATAGGGACTTGATTAGGGAGTCTTTAGAGACATATAGACTTCGGTTTTGAGTTTATAAAAGGGCTATACAATGGCTGTAAAGAAGGATGACGAATTTTGAATGAAAACAAAAAAAAAATTGCAAGTATTTTCTTGCTGCCTTTGGAGTAGAGTGAGTCCTCCATTGGAGTTGAGTGATTCCTCCAACTCGGCGTGAGTGATTCACCCTTCCTTGTCGGTTGTGTAATTCCTGGCAACATCTCACAGGCCCTGGCCTGCTGTACCTCATTTGTTAGCCGCATCAATCAGCCTCAAACCTAATATTATATGCAGCCCAATCTTTGCAGAAAATAGGATGTCTAACAAGTACTAAGTTGCAAGTTTGACAGATTAGGACCCATCAATGAAAATATCGGAAAATAGTCATAGTAAAACAAATAATAAAATAAATTCCAATGACAGAAAGCCCAAAAAAGATTCGCAACAACAATCTTAAATCATAGAAAATAACAACAACAAAAAGAAAAGCAGTACAAATAATGTAGAGCGAGCATGCAGTGTAGGAATTAAATACTTTTATCTTTTATAAGTATATTCATTTTGATTTGTGGGTAGAGAAACTGAGGAAAATGGAAGTTTTGAGAGAGAGAGAGAGAGAGAGGAGGGGGGAGGGGGGGAAGGGGACGAGAGAGTGTAGTATTACATACGTTGTACGGCGTCGCAGTAGCGTCGGACACTACTACACTACCGAACGTCGTCCGTCGTTCGTCTTACTTC